TGTTAAGATTAGTCTGATTACTATAGCCCTGTTTATGCCCTGTGTAATTTTGTAGTAGTTAATGGCTACCTCAGTGAGCATCATAAGGGAGGACCATCACATGCAAACCAAAGGACAAAATCATGACAGAACAGAGCAGACCAGCCTGTTTCTCGGCTTCAAATAAACTCAAATTGTAGCTGATAGGGATGGTTAAACCAAGCACCTTGACCTTCACCTGATGTTATGCACTCCAACATTTAGCTGTGATATCACAACCCCTTGGATTCTGAATTGATAATCATATATGACCAACATTTGTAATCAGAAAACATATGATATGTTACATGAAGATAAATATCCTTTATCAGATGACCTACGTATTTTTTTTCTAAAATTTTAAAAATTAATCTAAAATATTGACATGTGTCAAAGCCAGGGGTCTTTTCCTGAATTAAAACTTGTTGCCTTGAAAATAAACCTCATAACAAGCATGAAATATTGCCTCTTAATCCCCTTGTATTGAGACCTTAATCCATCAAGACCAGAGCCCAGACCCCTTGGGCTGGGAAAGTCAGGGCCAACAGTTGACACCTGACCTAATGTGACATTTGTATTCTAAGGGACAACAATGGGTCCAATTACTATGAATATCATAAATAAAGACACTTTTATGGTATTGTTGGTGTAGACAATATTTATGAATATCTATGCAGGTGTGGGTACCAGCTGACTAAAATCACAACACGCTTTGACACTTTAAAATTAATGTAAATTCAAAAAATGAAAATTTGACCTATATTTTTGTTTGTATTTTCTAGAAATATAACAGATTTTGAAATTGTCATTTGTTATTACAATTGAAATTATTATCATAATTTGAAATCCCCTCCTCCAGTAACAATGATTTTGCATTCCCAGGTAACTCCACCCATTATATACTGTACATATATACTTACATAGACAAATGCCTTCAAATGATGTGAAAAAGAAATAATTCCTTCCTTCCTGCATAGTGAAATCCTGGTCATCAATAGGAAACATTCTATAAAAATAAACACAGCAACAATCTGGGAACTAATGATGCCCTAGTCACATCAGACACTAAATGAAACCTTACTATGCTCCCCCATTACTCTTTTTGGATTCAGAGGGGCTGTTAGAGGTTCTGGCTTCTGATTGGTCCATCTGGCCTTTAGGGGCTAGTTAGCCTAGGTCTGTTTATTACCAACAATAAGGTGTCAGTTCCTGAGTGAGCCACATTGGGGGGCCACTTGTGTTTTGGTACATCCAGGATGTCCATTATCACCTCATCACAATGGATGGGTCAGTTATTTCAAATGTCCTTGGTGTCAACTCCCTGGTCAACATGACCCAGTGTAAAACTCACTTAACACCTAGAAAAACCAGGGAACTGTATTTATCACAATAAAATATTGTGTCTTGTTCACTAAGTGAAATCACAAAGCCTCAATTGCCATTTACAGATCTATTGACGCACAATATAAACACCATTCAAGGCAGCCTACATGCTTTCTAATGCCATATTTCATTTTTCATCATCTATAATGAACCTTGTATTATAATATTTTGTTATGAGTACAGTAACTAGAAAAGCAATGCCAAAACCATGTTCATTACATATGACAGATGTTTTTTTTTAATTTTCTTTCATCTTTTTTTAGATATAAAAACAAGACAGTCTGCTCAGAGAAAAGGTTTAATCTTCTCACCCCCAAAATGTTTGACTTTAAAATTATTTCTATCAAAGACTATGTTTTAATATTTTTTCTAATATCCTAAGCTGTAATATTTGGCCTTGGGCCTTAATATCTAAAAAATGTAAGTTTTGTCTTTATAAGAATAGTTGTCAAATAATTTGGTTAAGACAAGCAACATACACTAAAATGGAAGTGTTGAAGAATATTCAACTTCCTCCATGGATCTGATGTGTTATTTCTTTCAGGTTCTTTATCAATCAACTTCATCTTCAGACTAGCCTATCTACATTACATGCTTTTACCAAACTCAGTAAGATTTTCCTTCTGTTTTTTCAACAGTAAAATAGACAAGTACCATTAATGAAGGCAAGAAGCACTCTGAATTGAACTTAAGTAGGAGAGTATCAGGGAAAGACATTGTGTAGGAATCAAGACCTCTCTTCAGTGTGTAGCTATGAAGTGTTTATTGTTAATTCAGCTATCAAAAACTTAATCCGAAATAAAAATAACTTTCTGTACTTTGTCAGAATTTGCAAGACCTGAAAACTCCAATAATATAACTCATTCACTGATCTGAAACATATTACATTGGTCTTTTGATATGGCTTCATCTGCCTGACAGACACATACAGAGAACAGATGACAAAGGTCTTTAAAGAAGAGGGGAAAAAAAAAAAATATATTTTTTACATATTTCTTCATAAAGTATCAGTTTCGAATATTATAGCACTTTCATTCATGTCCTGTTTAAAACTGAGGAGGAGTTCTTAACATTGATGCTTTTCTATAATCAATGAATGAAAAATACCATCAAAGTTCAAAGATTATAATACAATAATAATTAATACCTATCTCATGCCTGAAATCTCTGAAGCTATGATATTTCCTTGCTCTCTTTGCCCAAATCTTCAAATCTGTTGGACACCTCTGTAGTGGTATTTCCATATCAATATCCATTGTATCATTGAAGTAGAAAGATGATGGTTGGTGTAGTTCAGAATTCAAAATAAATAATGGTTATAAGATAGCTTATATATACCATAAATGTCATTTGAATAAAACACATATCAGATTAAACAAAATTGCAATTGGCAGTGATTTATGTTGTAAATCTTGTATTATTGAGGTGATATTTGATTTTATCCAAAGCACTTTGAGCAAATCTGTCACCTCAATTACAGGTGATCATCTCCAGACAATAGAAGAGTGAGGGGATACATGCTTGGCTTGGATTCTACCTTAGATTTCTGACCCTTGAGCTAAACAATAAAAAGGTGATATGAAAACAATAGGGTTTGTTTGAACAACAGTCTCACACTCCCCTAATCAAGGTCAATAGTTGAAGGCATGAGGTCTTCAACACCAGGACTTCCAATTAATTATGAAATGACACATTTCCCAGTGGAACCATTGGTTATGTGTCAACACCAGAACTAATGTGAAGGGAATAAGCTGTAATGTTCTTCAGTTTTCCACATGCTGTTAACAGAGACCATTAAGTATAGTCACATGTCTGCAAATTTCATTTATATCAGAGTATGTGTTTATTTTATCAAGGAGACTCCGGACATCAATCTCAATGGCTGTGCCATTCAGTTCTGCTCTGAACATGGAAGGCCATTTATTGATAGCATTAATTGCCACAAGGAATTGAAAATAAACAAAACTGTTTTCCTTGTGAAATATACAAGTATTTATTATATAAACTCAGTATAACTGAAGAGGCTATAAACTATTACTTTTAAATTTCAAAATCCCATAAATGTATTTACAACAAAAACATAAAAGTTCTTGGTTTTCTTGTTGAGATACAAGAAAGACAAATGTGTTTCTTGGTTCACAAGTAAAATGTAGTTTAAATGGAAAATTACGAGCTGTGAATTTGTGGAAAAATTTACAACTTTCAATCCATAGTTCCTTGTATAACCTTTATACCTACTTAGACTTATTTGCGTTGAGAAAATAGAACTGAATTGGAGAATAAGGAAAAATCTGCTGTTAAGTTTTAAGTTTATAATAGTGAAATTTGAAAATTTGCCTCTTGCAGTCAAAAAGTGAATAGCAATTCCACATAAAATGTCACAGCCTACATTCAAAATGAGTTTAATAAGTCCTTGAACCAAATCCTCCAGAATTTGCACCTTACCTTTAATTGTAAAATAAGACAAAAAAAAACCAACCCAAAATACTGATCACAAAAATGTACTTTCAAAATGATAACTTTGATAAAATTAGTTAGTCATTACAACAGAAAAAATGGGCATATCATTTCACATTTTTCATATTTGATTGTGTATGTTTTCTTTCAAATAATTTTTTTTTTTTTAAAGATTTTGTAAATGCTTTCATTATTTAGCAATGTTGCTTAGTGTTCATTTTGGTCTTTTATGATATTTAAAATAAGCAGGTAGGTTTTTGAAAATGATGTGGTAATTTGAAATTTTTGAGTGAGGGTATATTTGAGATTTTCCATTCACACATGTCCCTAGCTGTTTATGTCAACAGTTATAAAATCTTGTATACATGTACATCTGGTTTATATCTAAGTGTTGTATGACCCCTAATGTTATCCACGCTCGACTGAGTATGGCATGCAAAAGTCGGCTATCAGCTTTGTCTGAACATTTGATCAAAGCCTGATACAATAATTCATGCTGAAATCTTACAACCATTGTAGCATTTATTGAATAGAACATTCACTAAAGTATCTAAATATTTCACATAAATGTACTATAAACAGTTTGAATGATGGCTATTAAAGGGGTTTAGGCCCATTCACAGAGTGATGATAGTTGATTAAGACAGGATAACACTGGGTCAAAGTGAAGTACTAATGGAAAGCTATAAAGTAAATAAGGGGTATACAGACTGTATACTAATATTTTTTCCGTGAACTAGTTTGGTCGGAATAACATAAGAAAGGGTCGTTACGGTTTTCAAAATCAAAGGAGAGGCCTGGTACAATACTGAACATTGTCAAAATATTTTCCCGATTATTTCAATCCTTTCAGTACATTGATTTTCACATCTGAAAGTATGTGTGCTCGCAATTATAAGTAATAATCAGTAATCAGTATCGGTTTATTTTCAGTAAGTCTTTATAATTGAATCCATGAAGAAAATTCCCCGAAGCATATCTAATAACCCTTCAAAAACACCTGCTATGGCCGACAGCCGTTCGTACTTGACAGTAGACTACTGTGTAAGCGACTGACTCGAATTCCCTGACACAAGATTGCTGATCCGTCGAACACGGTTGTGAAAATGACATAAATTCAAATATATATTAAAATACGTTACCTTTTTGTTTGTCGCCTCCTAAACATATGACATTGTTGTTTTTTTTCTTCTAGAATCTTTTTACAACTTAAAATGGCCGCCTTCTTTCATTTAATCAGTTACGGTGTGTATTATTGGTCAATTTATTTTTAGAACATGCATTGATTGGACAATACACAGTAAACTCGTTCTCGGTTCAAAATGTCTGCGCCCATGGAAGCTGAATACTGATGTAGGTGCTGGTGGATTTTTAGCATAGAAAAGGTGTGAAACATGGTGATATGAATAGGCTTTTGTCAAAATAGACGCTCTGTAGAAAAGGAGAATGGTATTCACAAGCTTTTAGTACACAGATTTTAGCGAAGAATATTTTTGTAAGGTATCCGGGATACACATCTTCAACATCACCAGTTTTGACGATCATAGAACCGCGATGGTTCCATGTCCATCAGACATTTTTATGTGAAATAACAGTCGTTTATAAAGGATTCCCTACTATTTACTGTTTCAGAAGTAAGATATCAATTATTTCCCAGCTAAAGCCTCAGATGCATGTGGACAAACTTTGTTTTATGTTTTTTTGAATTCGCTTATGTTGCCCATTAGTTCCAATCATAGACACTTTAAAACTTCAAAACAAAAATTGACCGGATCACAAAACGAAGCATTTACAGACGTGTAGTAAATACCATATAAGATAACCATTGATCGCCCTCCCAGTATCCATTTTCATTTTGATTTGTACTCGTAGATATTTGAAACTGTCATAATGTGATTATTTGATGATATTCTCATAAAAGCCTTATGGACTTTTCTCAGCATTGACAATATTTGGATTTATTAAGGAATAAAATATCGTTTAACTGCAAATATTTTCTACAAAAGTATCTGACATTTAAATACAATTGGTACTGGCAATGGGATGAACATCTGGAAATAATCTGATCTCACTTTTCCACTTGTCACATCAGCAACATTATCTTTAATTATATTTTCTGTAAATCATCAGACTTACTTCTTTTTCAATTTAGCTGCTCCAACAAAGTTACAGGTTTACACAACAAGATATTTCCGACAATTTTTTTATTTTTGATTTTTTTGTGACATGATTTTTTTATTAGAATATTTAACACAATTTTTTTTCCAGGTCATGCAGGCAGAGACTGTCATTAAAATGAAGTCAAAACACTCTTAATGGTTAAATCAAAATTGTTCATTTAATAGGTGATAACATTTTTTTATGGTCTTGGTAAAAGAAATTTATTGTGTTTAGTATGTGTACCATTTGATTAACAACTACACTTCTAGCTTAACTACCTGGTATTCAGTGAATACCTAATATTAATATCAAAATCTTAACTTGAAATGATACAAAAGCAACATAAACAATTTTGAATTCATAATTCATTTGTTTGTAAATGTCTGTCCAAAAAGGAAGATATAAGAAGAAAAAAAAATAATACCAAATACTGTTCTTAAAATGAGTCACAGAAAGTAAAATTTTGGCTTACAAATGTTTCCTATTTTCAGTGTCATAACTTGATCATGCCTGAGGAAACAGTGTTTAAACAGGTGGATGAGAAGCATGTGTCTGTGGAAGTGGAATTGATGTTATGGTCACCAAAATTTGACTTGGTGGCATTATCAAATGTTCAAGGGGAGGTAAGTAAAGCCCATCCTTCATGCAGGTTAAGGTATCATTTAATATATATCTAATGTTCCTTGCTAAAGTGAGTGAAGTATTTGGAACAGGAGGGTAAGGTCCAGTGTTATAATGGAAGATGAAGATGATAATTGGATAGTAGTTTGTAATGTATGATTAGGACAGGGGATAGGGTAGGGATTTTAATGTCCTGTGATAAAAAAAGGTAGAAGTTGGAGTGTAGTCTAGTTAGGGGGTGTAGGGACAGGGTGTTGCAGTGTCAAATGTTTGAAGAGGAAGAGCATAGGATGTAGGTGGTTAGTAGTATCCATAACTTTGGGTTTCAAAGGGATGAAAGAGGAGGAATTGTTTCAGGAAATGTAAAATTCATTTAAGTTTCACAAGGAAACAAGTATTGTCTTGTACTTAGGAGGAATAAAATGTTTTCAGTACAAAAAGCCATTTTTTTTATGTTTTATGGTCATAGGGATAATTCATTGCTCAGTATGTGCTTAGTTAACCACAGTTACTTGCTTATTTCTAAAAGGCTACTTGAAAGAGTATAATTAACACAAGTATCATGCTTAAGTTCTCATTTTACAAGATTACATCCCTAGTCAAATTCATTATTTTGTAGTGATATAGATAAGAATTCATTGGAACCTGTTTAATTTTCCATTTGTCAGAGGAAAATGTAATAATAAGCAACATTAACAGTTGATAAATTTGTATCGGACGTCTAATCCCATAAGTTAACAGTCTGATGCACCAAACTGACTTGCTTCCGATAGAAATTGTTTGAAGACCAAAATTTGTAATCTGCTTTGTTTTTCCCATAAGCACAGTTATTGTTTCCATAGCTTTTGTTTGTTTATTTTCTGAAATTTCTAACCTGCTATTGTAAGTTAGATGCTAGGGGCATGCTTTTCTTATTTTACTGATTTCACAAGGATGTTTATTTTATTGGGTCCAAATTTTGTACCATTGTTGACACGTTGGAGGTCACAGAGCTAACATTAGGTTTTATTTTTCAATCCACAGGTTGTACTTCATCGTTTGTCCTGGCAGAAAGTCTGGCTGGTTGCTCCCCCTGTGGAGGATGTTAGAGTTACAGCTTTAGCATGGCGACCCGATGGAAAAGGTAAGGTTAGGTTTGAAATAAAAAATGGATGAAATCACCCAACCCAGTAAATAACTTCAGAATATGTGTGTATTTACTGGGTTGATTTTCCCTCAAACAGTCAGGTATTTTCAAATGGGTCTCTTTGTAGTAGTTGGTGGCAATTTTTACTGAACATCACACAGGATGCCAGTTACTTGCTATATGAACTGAAGCAATAAGGATAAAGTGTAACATCCTTGATAGCAAAGGGTGATCCATAATCTGAGCTTTATGAGAAACACATACCATCTCAGGTAAAGATTGAAAAACACACCTCAGATCTTCAGTAGAGGTTGTGATGTCTAATGCTGTACCTTATGAACTATTTTTGTTTCTGAACAAGTGAATGTTTAGTGTACCAATAGTTAAAGATAACCTGTTTTGACTTAAATACTTATATATAGTTTGCCTATCTTTACATATAGATACAAGGCAGAAATTTACAGAAGAGGCATCCACTTCTTACTGTAGATAATAAGCCAGTTTGATTTGCTATAAGGGGCATATCGCTAGCCAGTTTTTGTGTCGCCTGCAGAGCAGGCAGACACTTAGGGATCACTTTGTCTGTTGTCATGCTTTGTCGCCGCCGTCCATACGAAAGTTTTCCGGACTTTTTTCGGTAATGCTTTGAGTTATCAAAATGAAATTTAGCATATTGCTTTTTGTGGCAAGGGTACAGATTAAGTTCGATTCCCAGCTGTGACCCTTTTTGGCAGAGTTATGTCCCTTTCAACTTAGAAAATTTCCTGGAAATATTGTTTTCCAGCCTTTTGGCATATGCTTTGAGTTATCGAAATGAAATTTGGTATATGGCTTTTTGTTGCAAGGGTACAGATTATGTTTGATTCCTGGCTGTCTGTGACCCTCTTGGCTGAGTTATACCCCTTTGAACTTAGAAAATTCTCTGGGAATATTGTTTTCTTGACTTTCTTTGGTTATGCTCTGAGTTATAGAAATGACATTTGCTATATGCTGCCTGTGACCCTTCTTGGCTGAGTAATGCCCCTTTATGCTTCAAGTGATAGAAATGAAATTTGGTATTACAACTTTATGGTTGATTATTGCACATCCAGTTCAATTTCTGCAGGCGACACATACAGTTCCGAGGAACTCTTGTTGCAGGTTTGTTTTGAAGGTATAATTTATTGCATATGCAAAATCGATATGTAGTTGTCAACAGAAAATTTAGCTGGATTTGCAAGATAAGAGAGAGGCGGTTAGAGATAATATGGCAGCATAAAGCAAGTATAAGCATTTTCTAGTCAGTTCCCATAACATAATGAGTTACACATATAACATACGTTTCATACCACAAAATCAAAAATGTTTATTCACAAATAACATTTGATAAGATTTGATTAGATTACAGGTGACTACAAGGCTTTTTTCCACTCATTTGAAAAAAGCCTTTTTATTTCATATTTGGAAGAAAATTGATCAGTTGATAATGAAATTTTCAGGCGATAACTATGGTGTATATTTTGGGAATTTGGCCATATTATGGTATGAATTCAGTTGGGAATAGAGCCCCTATTTTGGCCCCACTAAGCCCCCAGAAAAAGCCCTGGACAATGTGCTGCATCAATGGGTTTTCTCTTGTTGACTTTGTTAGGCAGGTCATGTGATCAGTGTATACCATTTAGTACAAATCAAACTGGCCGTCTTTTATAATGAGAGTAAGCTAAAAATCAACCATCCTTTAGAATTAAAAATGCACTTTCATCACTATTTCAGTATTAGCAGCAGGGTATACATGTGGCAAGATCAACCTGTATGATATCGAAAACTCTGAAATCCTCACAACTCTTGAACTGCCAGGGGAGGTAACTTGTATGAGCTGGATCACCCAATCACTACCAGAGGGCAGCGCTTGGTCTCCAGACCCATATGATGATGATAATGCAGCAGTTTACCTTCCAAAGCTACAACCATTGAACAAAAGGTTGTTAAAGGCTAAATTCTTATAATATTTTCTAATGTACTTACTTGTTGAAAAATTCAAGTTTGACATTTTAATGACCACACTTGTCTTCATCAGTGTGAAGCATATTGTGGTATTTCATCTAGTTCATTGGTTTAATCAGTGTTCAGTTGTGTTGCCTTTGATTTTAAGAATTTGGCTGATATTGGTCATGATTTTTTATGACAGATCATGGTTTGACAACTGTATGATCTTTTTTTAACAAGACATAAAAAAAGACGTAAAAATGATGATATTAACACATTCACTACAAATTTTTTTAACGAAAGTAAAATTTCTGAAGAAAGCATGATACCTGGATAGTTGGCAACTTGGGTGTGTGCAATTAGCTGATATAGAATATCTTTTTCTTTTAAATGTTTGATTCAGGTAATAATTTTGATAAAGAATTGAATGAATGAATGATTGTTTAAAGATATTTCAGTGATTCTCAATGATAATGTAACAGAGGTCATTGTTTATTTCAATATCTCTGCTAGGACTTGAACCTGGAACTTCAGTGTATTATGGCTAGTATTTCCAGGGTTACAATAATTTTCTTCAAAACAATTCCGTTAGATTGAGATAAAATGTATTTCATGATTAGTTATGTGGACTGCGCTTGTATCAATATTGCTTACACATTTAGAAAGTACACAAGAGCATGCAGATTTACAGAGGACACTTAGGTTACACTGAATACATTTTTAATAACCTTAATGTACCCCCTGCTTATTGTACGTGAGAGGTGAGGGGGGAGATGGTCGGTCATCTGTTCATAAGGGGAGATAATTTCATAATATACGATTTTCATGTTTCAGTTATGGAACCTTAACAAAAGGAACATCTGTGTGAGTATGGTTACATTGATAATTGTGAAACCTATAGCTCAATATTTTCGCTGTTTTGCAGTACATTAATGTGATCATGAAAATCTAATGCATGAAATTATTAAAGGACATTGAATACACATGAGTATCATAATTTAGATTGCAATATTTTCAATTGGTTGAAATGTAATTCAATTGTTTTAACAGCAAATTACAAAAAAATCCTGTGAAAATAACCAGCTACATGGCAATATTTCATCATAACTTCCGTTTTGTAGGTGAATTTTGCCACTGATTAATGATTTGGGACTCTAAATGCTTCCTTTCACATCAGCTTAATTCCCTACCTTATGTTGCCATTTTTTTCTCCAGTTCACCAATCAAAACTCAAAATTGTCTTCTGTTTTCTCCATCTGTTTTTGCATAAAATATTTCGAAGGCATTAAGTGATGTTCAATTCAAGTGTGTCATCATGAGGATGTATTTGGATATTTTGAAGCATTATGTAGACTTTCATGGCAGCTATTATGCCATGACCATGATATACTCCTTGTATTAGCATCAAATAAATTCCTTTACAGAAGGGATAACCTCTTTTGCTCTTTTCCACAATTTTCTTTCGTAAAATTTTTAATTTCTGGTCTAGAGTAATAATTTGGGATATGCATTAGGTATTTAGAATGTCACTCTATTTCATCTGTTTGTCCTGCTTTTTTGTGATAATTTCACACCGATCCCATTTGATTTAGAATGAAATAAACTGAGTATCCCACAATCATATCTCTTAGATTTTGTGTTTTGTAAAATTTATTTATTATTTCAGGGAAGAAAATGTTGAAGATAGGAAAAAGCTGAATGACCAAAAGGAGTAAGTATTGGAATTATGCAAAGATTTCTGTCAAGAAAAATTTGATGTCTGTATTGCATACTGTATAAGGGAGACATGACAGCTCATTTGGTTAAGAGGCTTGGCAACCTTAGGGGAAGATCTGAGGTATGTTATTCAACAAGCCCTTCTCTGGGCAGTTTGTCTATAATTTGTGGAGCTGAGAAGTTGAACAGTCATTTCTGCGTGTACACATGGGTTTTCCCCGTGTACTCAGGTTTCCTCCCACAATAAGACCCCTCATGCGCTTACATCTGGGCCAACAAGAGAGATTAGTATAAGTTGAAATAACTTGTTTCGCAATTGATATAAAATAAATAAAGTTCATAGTTTTTATAGTCAGTTCTGTCCTGGTTGTGTCATTGGACGAGATATGTGTTTCATTCCAATTGCTCTATATAGCATGCAGTGGGGCTCCAGCTTGTTGTTCAGTAATATTGACAAATATGTGTGCTCCTCAACCAAATATGTTTTTTTCCAAACTGGATCTGTTGTTTTTCCCTAGATTGAATTTGTTGCTTGCTGGCTGTGGAGCGAAGGAGCTGCACATGTTCGCATATGGCGTGTATCCTATAGGGGACAAAGTAATTACACCAGTTCAAGATGCACAGGTAAGTAGGAAGGAAAGTGAAATGGGATTTCATTAGTTTAATGGTTTTCTTTTTTCAAAACTTAAAAAATTGTTTCAATTTCTGCAAGTTTGTGAAAGCAAATTATTCAATATCTTCAAGATTAGATCAAGATGTTCACAATATAACCAGTAGATTTGATTTAGCAAAAATGCTTTTCTTTTGGAGAATATCTTTTAAGGTATATTTTTCCAAATTAACCATGAAAATATAATTAAATGAAGAATTCATAGTCTTCCTTGAAAAGTATATCCTTTGAACACTAAGGTTTTGATAAAACCATGAAAATTCAAATGCATTGAAAAATCCAAACAGTAGAGATACATAGTCAATATTACCCTTTAATTTATTGATGTGTAAACAGTATCACCAGTATTTCAAAAGTTGTCTCCCCTGCAGTACTTAGCTGATAGGTTTAAGGCAGGTACTTGCTTTTGATATTGATGCCATGACTTTGATTGAGAGCAGTTCTAGTAAAACATTGATCCCACCTGAGGATTCCATGTTTTGTTTAAGGGGTATCACTCATAGATTTAATTTGATAATTTACCTAGAAGTAGTAATAAGCAGGAAACCAAACTATGAAGAGAAATGATTTATTTTTGAGTCCTGGGGTCAAGTAGATATTTTACTGAAAAAGCTCTGGAGTATTTCAGGCCAAAATGGAATTTATTGACTAGCACCTGGTTAATTCTCTTTCTGCATATTTTTTTAGTGTGAAATTGTGAGTTATTTCAAGCAGCATAAAGAAAGTTTTTTTGAATATTTATTTACTTGTCGAGAATTTTCATTTTGCTCTAGCTGAAGCAGATACATAGTGCTGAGATCTCCCAGGACCTTCACATGGTTTCCATGGTGATAGAGCTGGCTAAAGGGGATACCCAGGAACAAGAGTTTTCCATTATGACTGTAAGGACAGAAAAGAAACATCCTTATATGTACATAAAACTCTGTATTAATATAGAGGATGGTAATATTGAAAAAACTTAATTCTTCTTTTCCCAAGGATGCATCAGACCTTATTTGGTTAAAAATCAATTTGACAATTGTGAAAACTTATTTAAAAAACAAATTTTACAGAGCTGTCCATGTAAAGCGTAACTTAAATAATCCAATGTACCGAAAAATGAGAAATAGAGTAAATAAAAAATTGAATACCTCTTGTCTATATATATTTAGATAGAGATGTTGATTATTTTAAAATATCTTTCCACAGTTTGACACAAGACTGTTGTCATCTCGGTACCAAGAATTGCGGATCCTGGCATTAAAGTGCGGACAGATTGCCACATTGATGGGAGTAAGATAATATTTTTATTCTATCAATGTATTTCATTTTTGATAAACCCATATTTTTATCTGTACTAGATAAAGCAATCATCTTAAAAATAATTTTTTGAGATAACTAATAGAAATTCTTATTGTGTTTGGTCTGAAAATGGTCTTAAATGAAATCTGTTTTTATGTCACAATCAAGATGGCCATTAAGCTGCTATCTTGAAAATTTTGTTATTGCTTCTTCTGCTGAACATATATTTGTTTAGAGACAGGACTTCCACTAACAATTTGTGTATGGTCAGTCAGTCAAAATTGAAATTAGGAGCAGTGTCGTATTTAAGATAGCAGTAAAACCTAACAGAGAAGTCTGATGCAATCTGATTGAAGAAAAATTCTCATATAAAAATACCAAATGTTCAATACCAGTAGAATGATGGTGCTGAGAGGAATGTTTGCTTAACAAATGTTAGAAAGTCAAACTGTATTTTTAGCAATCCATGTAGTCATTACTAGTCAAGCAGTACCTGTTATCAGTGTAATAACATCCATTACATACATTTTTGGTATAACCACACATGTAATATGACCTAGCAGAGTTTTGATTGGCTAAGGTTTGCATTGTCACATAATGGAAGAAATGGATATGAAGTTGAAAATATTGTCTGTTCTGATTTTGTATCAGTCATATTAAATGCTGTTTTCATAAATGTTTGTAAAAGTATCTTAATATATGCCATAAAAAAAATCTTCCAATTAATTGATTTCATTTTTTATAATGCAGATTTATCTGCTTTTATAAGCAGGTATTGATCGTTATGTTATTAGGTTGCATTAAAAATTAATGTTGCTATCTCACAAATTTTTTCAACGTTATTCTCTCATAAACAAATATGGTAAAAGTCAATGCCAGCCCACAAGAGCAGATAACTCTGTATGAGGAAAAGACAGATTATGTTAATATGTTTGTTTCACAGTACCTACAACAGACTATACAACAGATGTCAGAGGCTTGGGAAGATATTCTCATGGAAATGGACTCCAAACTTCTCAAATTTGCTGGTGAAAAAAGAGTAAGCAATCTTAAAATACAGTACAGCTGGTAATTTTCAAGGGTAAAAAATTTGCACATTTTCCTTTTACAACAATCATATTGCATTACAATGAATTCAAATTTTTCAATCTGGATGTAAAAGGCCATTCTATAGTCACTTGTCTCATAATTTCATGAACTGTATTAATTATGATCTCTTAAATGTGCAGCAAAATAGTGAAAATATCATCCCAGTGAAAATAACTAGTTATGTTATATTATTGCCAGAATTCCTTTTAACACTCTCTCCAGTTTTGATACTGTTGTAAAAGTTTTGTTGGTTGAAACTTTTACGGTTTCATTTAAAATAAACAATAAAAAATACCAAAAAATAATAACATAACGGTATATAAATAATGTAGATATTTGTTCTCTCATTAAAAATGACTAAATCTTGATGATTCTTATTAGTTAAATATTGTTCATATTACCAAGTAAAATAGAGAATGGAAGAAAACAAGAGTTTATATTCAACTTTGACTCTTGACTTCATTAAGCTGAAATACTTATTTTCTATGCCAGTAAAGTACCTTAGCATTCATGCCAAGAAATATTTGGTAAAATATACTGTAAAATCATATATTTAGTGGGGCCAAATTTTAATGGTTTTCAAAAATACACTTTTGCTTTCATTTGATTTTTGTGGTTAAATCTTGCCCACCAAATCTAGTAGCACTGTAATCCATATCAATTTGTATCCGTTTATGATTTCATGGACATATGAATTCCTGGATTTAGAATACACACAAAAAAGTTCACAGAAAATGAATCATTCCACAGTATCAGGGTTAAAATTTCCCTCGTGGTATGACAAGGATGAAAAAATAGGGCAATATGTATGATGTTCAGTGAAATTGTGAAAATTTTCAACACTGAAAATGACCCCCTATATGGTATCATATTGCTACACAATCAATATTTTTTTTAGATATTTTTATAAATGCTAATAATATACACTTTTTGTATCTTTAAAACTGAGTAAAGTCTCTAAATGACTTGAGGTTCAACATAATTAGATACAGAATTTTCTCCTTTCCCATGTGTATTTGAAGAGATAATTATATCATCTCTAAATTAAGTTATTATCTTGACCAGTGATACACAAAATCTAATTATTAAATACAGAGTTGTTGCCCTTCCCATATGTATTTAAAGAGTGAATTATGATATTTTTCTCTAAAGGTAATGATATTATCTTTACCTGTGATACTCAAAATTAATCACTTAATTTGGAAGAAAAATAATTAGCCAATTGTACAATTTGAATTTCTGACGATGACTTTTGGAATTTCCTAGAATATTGCATTTCATGTTAAATTTTATTTATTTTTTTGTACCACATATACAAAGTCTGTCTTGCTTTCTTCAGAAGACGGGTACCAGCACTGTGAGCAATGATTTCCTGGAACTGTTGATGTTTGGAACTCCCAGGTAGGATTTTACTCTGTTAAAAAGACCTTCAATTTAAGTAAAAGACGAAGATATAAGTGTTGCTTATCTGTCTGTCTGCTGTGGATATGTAGCAAAAATCTTGTTTGTAAGATTCCAAAACATCTCTTGCATACAGTTTCTACTTGCTCCGTTGTATCGTAACATGAATTTTACATCTGCTTAGAAATTGGTGGTCAAGGTTAAAGTATCAACGGTCACACTTGACCATTTTTGAAAAAAGTAAATAGACAAAGACAGTGTCAGACAATAGCAGTATATTGAAGCATTTTGTAAATGCCCAATAATTACATATAAGCACATTCAGTTTTACAAATTTAGGAGTTTTAAAAAGTTTCAGTTTCAAATTTTGCCTTGTCTTTTGCAGTCCTGAACTTCAAGCATTCCTACTTCACGAACTCACAGAAAAGGTTTGTATTTAAGATTTGTCTGTAATTTTGGGATCACACTTGGTGTGGGCTTACTTCTAAATCATTTCATGTGCTAGTGAACATTCTGATCTTCAATTTAGATGCAGAGTGCAACATTCCCAAACCAATTTTTCTCAAAATGGATCACCAGTTGAAACCAAATGGAATGATGTCCTCTTTATTGTAGTAGTAAAAGCCTTCCCAATACCGATCAGTTTGATTCGGATTACCAAACCGATTTTATGTCTGAAATGATTGAAATATACTGAAAACTAATTTTGAAAACTGGCTTTACCTGAACAATGAAGAAGCAAGAAATGGTTAGACTAAGTGAAAAGAAGAACTGATGCAGAGCTAGAAACCTGAGTTTTGCATCTTTTTAAAAGATAATTTTTAAACTAATGAACAAAAACATCTATTTATTGACTATATCTGTTGACAACACTTTCACACCAGCTGATTATTTGACCACGGCTAGGTGCAAGGTCCTGCCATGTCATGTAATGAAAGTTCTGAGGTCACTGTGCAAAGAGCAGATTTCCTTATATATTTGACCACGGCTAGGGGCAAGGTCCTGCCATGTCATGTAACAATAGTTCTGAGGTCACTGTGCAAAGAGCAGATTTCCTTATTAGTGAAGTCATGCATTGTACTATATTGAAATATTTTTACTCTATGAAGTTTTTTGTTTGCTGTATTGAGTTGGACATGTACAGTGTAAACGCTGAAAACAAAGGAAATGATTCATGTAATGTACAGAACAACATCTGTTCAGCCATATCCGAGTCCTGACCTGTCAAATAAGTTCACTTCTACAAACCAAACCCTCCCTGAACCTGCCAAATGTTGGACTAGAGAAAATCCTTCTAAAATGTGAAAGTTCATACATTATGATGATTCTCACAGCAGCTAGGTTTCATTGTTACTGATGATTTTATAGCGTATTGTTTTTTTATAGTTTTAATTGTGTCATATTTACAATTCTGCACATTTTAGCTAGCTTTTAGAATAAATACATCTACTCCATATCTGCCCTAGATTTCTATATAAGCCTTAAATGCCAAAGGGCTGTGGATTATTTTCCGCTGTGGGATGATATAACATAGGATGAAATAATTTCTCATACAATTAAACTTATTGTACAAGAACATACATTGGCTGAAAGTGACTGTAGAACACTTTTGATGTTATGAATTTATGCCTCCTATCATTATAACAGGTGAGCTAAAAATAGAAAAAAGATACTGTTGAATGTAGTTAAAAATTCTTGTATGATTCTGAACAAGTTTTATTGAAGTAAGTGTATTTGTTTGGTCTGTGCAGGGTCTAAAGAATCTGGGTCACTCCATAGAGACATCCTACTCAAACATACAGAAACTGGTGGTTCAACACCTTCAAGTGTGAGTATAGAAAGTAAAAGGGAAGAGAGGAGGACATGATAGGATTTCCGTAGATTAATTCAGCATTCAAATAAGGATATTCTTGTATTTGTATATGCAACAATAATTTTGAAACTTTTTAAAAATAAATTTGAAAGGTAGCTACAGGTATGTTGAAAATTACAAAAACATAAGATTGCTTGTTAAAAATACTTTTGAATAAAATGAGATAAGTACTTTTGTAAGTAAATGTATGTGAGAGAAAGGGATTTTTATTGAATTTTAAAGTTAAAAGTTTTTTTGAATGTTTGAATAATTTTACTGATTGTGATTTTGTATATGTCTGTATCAGCCAAACACATTTGGAAAGTTTGCATCTGAGAATGAGAATTGTTTTTCAAAAGCATGCAATATGATGTCAAATCATAATGTATAAAACAAGAGGAAGATAAAAAAAGTATTACATTTACTAGTGAGTAAAAAATATTTTCTCTGCTGTCCTTTAAACATAGGGGCCTTGATAGCTCATTCTGTCAGAATGTTGGCATATTTAACCTCATATAAAAAGCTAATGTATGTGGTTTGATGCTCACTACCTGTGGAGGTCCTTTGGTAGCCAACAGTTGCTACATGGAGACACTGTCTCAAAATACCCTGGCTGTTCATTGGTCAATAAACGCAGCAAGGAAAAACAAACCAACAATGATAAAATATTTTACTGAGTTGATGAAAAGACATTTAATAACGTTCTTGTTACAGGGTAAGTCAGGCAATACTGTACCACCTCAGCGATCTCCGTGGGATGTCAGCTTGGTACGAAAAGTTCGGAGTTCTAGGCATGCACACACAGAAGATCCAAGAGGCTGTCACGGCTGTAGGATCTTTTGTCCTGAAAACATCAGAAATACAGCAGTGAGTTTGTCTTGTATCGAAATGTAGACATTTACCTGTAAGCAAATTTTAACACTTACATACAATAATTTCTTACTTAACACAAAGCTAGGATTCAAAGTAGAGGATATGGGCTTATCACAGGACAGACATAATATGATTTTACTTAATTTGACACAATCTAATTTTAGTGCATTGCCACTTTCTGGCAAACTAGCCAAATCACAAATTTGTTCATCGGCAATAATTACTATATAATCAGCATACAGAAACTGCAAATAATACCATCATATTTTAGTGCAACCTTTCAGCATGGCAATCGCTAAAATAAAATTACCACTTAAATGTTTAAGCATGTTTTTTGGTATTTATATTGAAACTACAATTGATATGAGTTTGCTTATTACAAGTCAGATATAGCATTGTGTTGAAATACCTAAAAGTATCCTACACACCAGCATTGAGTCTTGTTTATTGTAGAAAAGGTGATGGGCTGTAAAATCTGAAATTTTCATGGAGTTCAGTTTCCATAGTTTTTTGGAAAAAAAATATCACTAATTCATGAAAATTTGATTTCTTTCCTAAATATATCTCAATAAATCTATTTATGCTTATTTGAACAATTTGTAGACATGAATTCGTGAATTGAAAGTTACCATGAAAACAAAAATAAATCCCCCACAAAAATGAATGATTTTTGCAGTATCATATATGCACTTTGATTCATTCAGATAATTGGATATGATTTGCTGTAAAACAATTTGAGACTGATTATATACTTATTGGTTTGCAGAGTGATTGATAACAGTATAAAGAATTTCAAGGCGTTCTTCAGGTGGCTGTATGTAGGTAAGTCAGGGCAAGCCTTTTGACTTGTCAAGAGACTGTAAAGAGTAGTATGTTTGTATTTCAGCCATGATAGCTCAGCTGTTACAACATTTGACGTAACAGTCTCTGTTGAAGGTCCAAAGTATGTGGATTCATTCCTACATGGGACGGTTTGTGTTTATCATGAAGCTGAGATCGCAGATCATTCTGTGTTGTTGTGGTTGTTACCTTAGGAAAGACGCTTGACCCAAGTCAATTTGCACAGGATATGGTGGTCCTCCCACATGTTGTTCAGTCAAGATAGCCACCATCTTCCATAATGAGATACTGTCTCAATATGGTCTTGTCAGTTTTCAGGGCTGTAAACTCAGAATTCAAGTACAATGTATATCAGTTCACAAAAAGGACAAAAAATATTAGTAAATTTCCACTCTGTGAAACTTTTCTTTTTAGAAAGATAGGAGCAATCCTTCTCATATTAATTGTATTTAACTTCTGTTTTAATTTGTTTATCTTTGTTATCAAATAGTCAAATGACCAGTCTAAACTTTTGACCATTTCGCCCTTGTGGTATGGCAAAATGTATAAACAAATTAGGGATGAATTTAATGAAATTTCATATTAAATTTAAGATGTTTTTTAAAAGTGCTCAGAAAAAAAAAACTTCAGCAGGTTTTAAATTCAAAATATGAAGAAGAAAAGTCAATAGAGACAGCCATTTTGTTGTGCCATGTTCAATTCTGGACATAAATCATTGTCTATATTATGACATCACAGTCAATTTTTGACAGTGCAGCCAATGAAAAACACTCCAGGTTATATTGCACTAGTGGCAAATAGGAATAATATTACATGGGAAATTCACTGGACAACAGGCCAATTACGTGATAAATGTAGTCCTTTTTTATTTATCCCCCGTGAAACGCATTTGCGGGGGATATTAAATTGGGCTCCGTCCTCCCGTCCTCCCATCCATCCGTCCATGTGTTTTCCGGGCTATAACTTCGAAACCGTTCAACTCAACTTCACAAAACTTCCTATATATATTAAGTCATTGCCCTAGTTGTGCCCTTTGCTATTGTCAACATTTCACTTTTTATATTTTTTTCTGTTACCATGGAAACATAGTCAGAAAACACCAAAAGAGGGCTTTTCCGAACTATAACTTCCAAACCGTTCCACTCAACTTCACAACACCTGTGCACATGGGATAATACTTTGCTTTGCAGCATCTTGTTCTTTATTTGTTTTTGTTTGTTTTTGGTTTTTTTTTGTATTTTATTTATATCTAAGGTGAATTTAACATTGGGACAAAGTGAAGAAAATTTTAAACCAGGGCAAAATGATCTCGGGCAAATATTACTCTGTATAAAGTACGTAATGAAGTACTGAACTTCTCTTTCTCTCTCATATTTTCATTTAGCTGTGGCTTCAACTTTTTATTTATAATTGTTTTACTATGCTTTTTGATTTCTGCATTGAGGTTCTTTTAACCATTCTTGTTTTTTTTATTCAAGTTAGTTTGAGTTTTTCAGACCGAAATTTTTTTTTTGCAATTTCAATTTCCACCTAAACAGGAACAGGGGCATGAATTTCAAGAAATATTCTCCAGGCTTATTCTGTATTTGACTCCTTACAATATTTGTTATTGCAGTAATTCTAAGACTTTCCAATGAAAAACCTCCTGCCGAGCTGAGCAAGGTGAGCATATCTAAAATACGAACATAAGTGGGACATCAAATCATTTCAAGATTCAGTCTTTAAAGTTACATATGGAAAACCAAAAGGAAGGTGTTGAAAATGAATCTGATTGAGGTTATGTAGAACTTCCCAGTAGCCACATTTCAAAGCAAAAATAACTTGTTTATTAGATGGGGGTCAAAAGGTGATGGTGTCGAGGGTCTTCATGTATAAATCAATTATGGTTTGAAACAAAAGTCAAGTCTATGTAAAGAAAACATTGTTGGAATCAGTTATGTTTAAGCTTTATCAAATATTTTTTTAATATAGAAGTATTAAAACAGAAATTAGATAATGTAAACATTATATGATTTTATTAAGTTTTCACCTGCATTTGACTGACATTACCTTTGTCCAGATTTTTCAGTTTTCAGGTGTTTTGTGGTAGGAATATTTTTCAGATGAATGTATTAATCTTCACTCTTACAGATGACACAACATGATATTAACTTTGTAGCAGAATTCCTCCGAGACAACTTTGCACATTTTACCCTAGTAAGTACCATCAAATACTGTGTAACCAATAATTTTCACAGGTCAAAATTTTCACAAATTTCTCTTAAAATGATCTAATTATATTTTCTTAAAATTTTGCAATCTGGTTATAAAAGGTCATCTTGCACACACTAAAATGTAAAGTGTGTGACAGTGTAACAGGTACTAAATTTTAAAGGTCATCTAAACCGAACAGTCATAATGACCTATATTGTTGTGCTTCGTCGTGCCATGCACCATCGCCATCTGCCATTTGCCGTCAAACTTCTTCCCAAGTTCCACCGGTGGGATCAAGCTTAAACTTGCATGAAATTATCCTAAGGTCTTTACCAAGTGTTTTTATTTTTCGGGTATGTCTGAAATCTCAGATGGCCGCTATGATTTCTATGGCTGCCATCTTGAAAAACATTTTATTTTTTAAACTTTATATTTTAAACTTCTTCTCCAGTTCCACTGGTGCCATTGAGCTAAAAATTGGTGGGAATGTTAAAGAAAGGTAGCCAACAAAGTGTTGTTATTTTTCAACCTTGTCAAAATTTTGATTCGGCAGCCAGGGAGGTCATTTCATAACATGATTGCACAATCATGGTTTTCCTTTGCAACATCTATTTCAAACTTCTACTCAAGTTTCACCAGTTGGATTGATCTCCAACTTTACTGTCCTAAAATATGTTACACTTGTTAAAGTTACCTACTTCTCACCAAAACTACCATCTGCATCATGGAAAAAGTAACCTTCTACCTGCTGAAAGTTTTTGTAAACAGATGACCATTAAGGGCCTCTTGTTGAGATATTATTTCATGTTTTGCAAAAAAAAGAAAATAAAATCCCTATGAAAATAACTGCCTATATGGTAGGTTTTCTTTTGACAAACTCAGTTGAGTAACATCATTTCCAGACCAGTGCCACAATAACTAATTCAGTTGGAGTGTTTGCCCATGTAACTTTAGGTGAATATCATAGATGCGTAGCATGACATTCTGTGCCCATAGCACTTTGTGTTTCTCAGGAAGCTGAGAAATGGACCTGTATGTGCTGAAGTGGTTGTTTTGGGCAAGGCATATTACCCTAATGCATTGGCGGACAGGCGATGGGCCTTTTATATGTTGATTAACAAAGTTGCTAGAAGCTACTACAAGGAGACCCTTCTTGTAACTTTGTATAAAGATACATTTAAACAGGAAAATTTAATTAAAGAAATGAATAGTTATGAAATTTACATGATTTACAGCGAACTTAAAGATAGATGATGTGATATAATGAATCTCATGTTGTTTCATTTTTGCAGGATAATCAGGATGAAGATGACATATCAATAGCAGATCTGATGGAGGACCACAACAGTAAATCAGGCTTCAAGTTGGAGAAAGTTGGACAGGTACAGGATGTAACATAGGGCAGTTAGGGTGTGACCTAGGGACAGGTACAGGGTGTGACGTAGGGCAGTTAGGGTGTGACCTAGGGACAGGTACAAGATGTGACCTAGGGCAGTTAGGGTGTGACATAGGGCAGGTAGGGTGTGACCTAGGGACAGGTACAGGGTGTGACATAGGGACAGGTACAGGGTGTGACATAGGGCAGTTAGGGTGTGACATAGGGCAGGTAGGGTGTGACCTAGGGACAGGTACAGGGTGTGACATAGGGACAGATACAGGGTGTGACATAGGGCAGGTAGGGTGTGCCAAGGGACAGGTACAGGGTGTGACATAGGGCAGGTAGGGTGTGACCTAGGGACAGGCACAGGGTGTGACATAGGACAGGTAGAGTGTGACCTAGGGACAGGTACAGGGTGTGACACAGGGCAGGTACAGGGTGTGACATAGAGCAGTTAGGGTGTGACCTAGGGACAGGTACAGGGTGTGACATAGGGCAGGTAGGGTGTGACCTAGGGACTGGTAGAGGGTGTGACCTAGGGACAGGTACAGGGTGTGACATAGGGCAGGTAGGGTGTGACCTAGGGACAGGCACAGGGTGTGACATAGGACAGGTAGAGTGAGACCTAGGGACAGGTACAGGGTGTGACATAGGGCAAGTACAGGGTGTGACATAGAGCAGTTAGGGTGTGACCTAGGGACAGGTACAGGGTGTGACATAGGGCAGGTAGGGTGTGACCTAGGGACTGGTAGAGGGTGTGACCTAGGGACAGGTACAGGGTGTGACATAGGGCAGGTAGGGTGTGACCTAGGAACAGGTACAGGGTGTGACATAGGGCAGGTAGGGTGTGACCTAGGGACAGGTACAGGGTCTGACATGGGGCAGGTAAAAGATGTGACATAGGGCAAGTACAGGGTGTGGCATAGGGCAGGTAAATGGGGTTACATATGACAACTACAGAGTGTGGCATAGGACAGATAAAAGGTGTGACATAGGGGAGGTACAGGATGTGACATAGGGCAAATACAGGGTCTGACATAGGACAGGTAAAAGGTGTGACAGGGGAGGTACAGGATGTGACATAGGGCAGGTACAGGATCTGACATAGGACAAGTAAAAGATGTGACATAGGGCAAGTACAGGGTCTGACATATGACAGGTAAAAGCTGTGACATAGGGGAGGTACAGGATGTGACATAGGGCAAATACAGGGTCTGACATAGGACAGGTAAAAGATGTGACATAGGGGAGGTACAGGATGTGACATAGGGCAAGTATAGGTTCTGATATAGGACAGGTAAAAGATGTGACATAATGGAGGTACAGGATGTGACATAGGGCAGGTACAGGGTGTGGCATATGACAGCTACAGAGTGTGGCATAGGACAGGTAAAAGGTGTGACATAGGGGAGGTACAGGATGTGACATAGGGCAAGTACAGGGTCTGACATAGGACAGGTAAAAGCTGTGACATAGGGGAGGTACAGAATGTGACATAGGGCAAGTACAGGGTCTGACATAGGACAGGTAAAAGAGGTGACGTAGAGCAGGTACAGAGTATGGCATAGGGCAGGTACAGGGTGTGACAAAGGGCAGATAAAGGGTGTGACATAGTTCAGGAACAATATATGACATTGTCTTACAAGTACAGGATATGACATTGTCTTACAAGTACAGAATATGACATTTTCTTACAGGTATAAAGTATGACATAAGTTAAGTACAGAGTGTGGGATAGGAAATAAAAGAGTGTGACGTAGGACAGGTACAACATGTGACAGTTTCTGACAGGTACAGGATGTGACATTGTCCGACAGGTTCAAGATGTGACATTGTCTGATAAATGAAGGGTGAAGTGTCCAAAAATGAAATTTCTTTTTGAAAAATTATGAATATTAACCCCCCAGTAAAATGTGACTTTACCATGCCATAATTTTGATATTTCAGTATTTAAAACGAGAAGATCTACATTATCCACCATCTGTATCCTCTAATCCCTGGATACAGTTTCAGAAGGGCTGTTTTCATCTTAAAGGTGAGTTTTATTGTCACACTCTCTAGATACACTAATACCCCTGTCTGTCATTCCACCATGATTTCAATTCTAGTAATTTACCCTTTGACAGATACAGATGTAGAACTGTTATTTGGTATGTAGGTGTATAATGATAATATACAGGTGAAGATTTGGTCATGATCAGTTAATTTTTACAAAGTCATGGCCATTTGACTTAATAAGTATTTTAATGAAAATTTTCACAAAAATGGTAAGACCAATATTTGAGAGCCTTGTCTTACTCCAATGGGAATTACAAAAAAATATGCAGTTTTGTTTCAGATTCTTTGCCATTGATTCTGCAGACAAGACTTCAATTTTACTTCATGAGTATGCATCTAAAAAAGGCCAACAGCGCTAAAAAGTTCCAAACTTTTGTCTTAGTTACTGACAGGGGCATTCATGTTACTCTGACACATCTAGTTTCTCTATATTTCCTTGACCTTCTGTAAAAGCAGGAGATATTTTTTAATCCTATTGGCTGTTCCTCTGTCTATTTTCCACAACAATCACTATAGTTTTCACAGAAAATTTCACCATAATTGAAGCACCAGTATCTGTTTATTCATCAGAACAATTTTCGTGGGAGGTGTCCTTTTTTGTAAGTCCTGTCTTCTACAGTCCTGTGAAGTAGTACATTCTTTATTCACATATCATTGATGTCCTGAGTCACTTTTGTTAATCGGTTATACCAGATCTGTTCATCTATAAAATAAGGATAGATTTACTGATATGATTTTGCTCTCAAATGAGCCTTGACTTATTCTTTCAAGGCTTGTATTAATATTTGTATGTTTATCTCAACATATGTCTGAAAAGTTGCCTATAAAATGTTAATGAACTATTTTTATGTGTCTTCAAAAGCGGTCTAGAACATTACCTATGATACCTTGCAACAAATTACTTTTTTTTTGTTCATTGCACATTGATTTATGTCATGTAATTGTAAATTTCTTTATTTTACCTGTGAATGTGTAATTTTACCTGTATGTGTTTTACCTTAAAATGTTTTTGACCCTTGAATATATAATTTCACCTGTATGTGTTTACCTGTATGTGTTTATCTGTATGTGTTTACCTGTATGTGTTTGACCTGTGAGTATATAATTTCTCCTGTGTGTGTTTACTTGTATGTGTTTACCTGTATGTGTTTACCAGTATGTGTTTACCTGTATATGTTTACCTGTGTGTGTTTGACCTGTATGTGTTTGACCTGTGAGTATATGATTTCACCTGTATGTGTTTACTTGTATGTGTTTATCTGTATGTGTTTACCTGTGTGTGTTTGACCTGAATGTGGTTGACCTGTGAGTATATAATTTCTCCTGTCCGTGTTTACTTGTATGTGTTTACCTGTATGCGTTTGACCTGTGAGTTTATAATTTCACCTGTATGTGTTTACCTGTATGTGTTTACCTGTATGTGTTAACTTGTATGTGTTTGACCTGTATGTGTTTGACCAGTGAGTATATAATTTCTCCTGTGTGTGTTTACCTGTTTGTGTTTACCTGTATGTGTTTTACCTGTGAGTATATAATTTCTCCTGTGTGTGTTTACTTGTATGTGTTTACCTGTATGTGTTTACCTGTATATGTTTACCTGTATGTGTTTGACCTGTGAGTATATAATTTCTCCTGTGTGTGTTTACCTGTATGTGTTTACCTGTATATGTTTACCTGTATGTGTTTACCTGTATGTGTTTGACCTGTGAGTAGATAATTTCTCCTGTGTGTGTTTACTTTTATGTGTTTATCTGTATGTGTTTACCCGTATTAGTTTACCTGTATGTGTTTGACCTGTATGTGTTTGACCTGTATGTGTTTGACCTGTGAGTATATAATTTCTCCTGTGTGTGTTTACTTGTATGTGTTTACCTGTATGTGTTTACCTGTATATGTTTACCTGTATGTGTTTGACCTGTATGTGTTTGACCTGTGAGTATATAATTTCTCCTGTGTGTGTTTACCTGTATGTGTTTACCTGTATGTGTTTGACCTGTATGTGTTTACTTGTATGTGTTTGACCTGTGAGTATATAATTTCTCCTGTGTGTGTTTACTTGTATTAGTTTGCCTGTATGTGTTCGACCAGTGAATGTATACTAAATTTACATTTATTGTTACAGATACAGACATCTTATACCCTGTACAGAATACCAAATCTCTGGTACAGCTGCTGGACATCCTGTTGGAAGCTATCCATTCTGCCTTGTCTCGTCCCTCTGTAAGTCCACCCCTCCCTCAACATGATAACCATGCCTCATCTCCCTCAACATCCATTCTGCCTTGTGTCATCTCTCTATAAAGTTAACCCTCTCCATTCACATCCATTCTGCCTTGTGTCATCTCTCTATAAAGTCAACCCTCCCCATTCACATCCATTCTGCATTGTGATGTCCTCTGTAAGGTCACCCACCCTTCCTCCACATCAATTTTGCCTTGTGTTGTCCTCTGTAAATCACCCCTCCCTCTACATCTGTTCTGCCTCATGTCATCTCTCTATGAAGTCACCCCCTCCCTCCACATCCATTCTGCATTGTGATGTCCTCTGTAAATCACCCCTCCCTCTACATCCATTTTACCTCATGTCATCTCTCTATAAAGTCATCCCCTCCTCCCTCCACATCCATTCTGCCTTGTGTTGTTCTCTTTAAGGTCACCCCCTCTCCCTCTCTGCATTCATTCTGCCTTGTGTTGCCTTTTGTAAGTCACCCTTTCCCTCCACATTCATTCTGCCTTGTGTTGTCACACTCAAAGGCCACCCCCTCATTCCACATCAATTTTACCTTGTGTTGTACCTCTGTAAGTCACCCCCTCCCTCCACACAATTCTACCTTGTGTTGTCCTCTGTAAGTCACCCCTTCCCTCCACATCCATTCTACCTTGTGTTGTCCTTTATAAGTCACCCCCTCCCTCCACACAATTCTACCTTATGTTGTCCTCTGTAAGTTACCCCTTCCCTCCTCATCAATTCTTCCGTGTGTTGTTCTCTTTACATAAACCCCCTCCCTCCACACAATTTTACCTTTTGTTGTCCTCTGTAAGTCACCCCATCCCTCCACACAATTCTACCTTGTTTTGTCCTCTATAAGTCACCCCATCCCTCCACACAATTCTACCTTGTGTTGTCCTCTATAAGTCACCCCCTCCCTCCTCATCAATTCTACCTTGTGTTGTTCTCTTTACATAAACCCCCTTCCTCCACACAATTCTACCTTGTGTTGCCTTTTGTAAGTCACCCCATCCCTCCACATCCATTCTGCCTTGTGTTGCCTTTTGTAAGTCAACCCGTCCCACCACATCCATTCTGCTTTGTGTGGTTCTCTGTAAGTCCCTCTAAATGTCCACCCCCTTTCCCAACATCATTGCCTTGCTTTGTCTTTTTGTTATTCAACTCCTTCTCTCCATATCATTCTGCCTTGTATTGTATCGCTGTAAGTCACTCCCATCCCTCCACATCCATTCTGCCTTGTGTTGCCGTCTGTAAGTCACCCCTCCCTCCACATACATTCTGCCTTGTGCTGTCACTCTCAAAGGTCATGTACTCTCCCTCCACATCCATTCTGCCTTGTTTTGTACCTCTGTAAGGTCACCCTCTGCCTCTAAGTGAAATCATCCACATGGCCTTGTGTTCCTTCTCGCCCTCCTTGTGTTGTACCTCTGTAAGTCACTCCCTCCCCTTAGTGAAGCCACCTGTTTGGCCATATGTCATCTCTCTAAATGTCTATCCCCTCCTTCTCTATAATTCCAATGAGAACTGAATCAAATTATGTTGTTTGGATGATATATCTTTAGACCAGCTACAGTGAAACCTGTATATAAAAATCATTCAAGAGAGCAGGGGAAAGAGACCTTAATAGAAAGGTTGCCTTTTCATAGAGGTTCATCATTGTATGAATTTAATTGACAGGTATTTGTTATATAGAGGTAGCCTTAAAGACAGGTTTGACTTCAAAAACAAAAAATTCTGCAATGTAATTGTATTTTTAGATATTCAAATTATGTACAAGTAAAATTTTGAAAGGGGCTAAATTCCGAATGAATAACCAAGGGAAACAACTCTTGTGTCATTATTTGTCTTGTAGATGGTCATAGGAAGTTCATTTGAGTGTCTGTCTTCCCGACGTCTCTTCACAATCCCTAAACAGTAAGTAATCCTACCTCATCTTGTAATTAAAACCTGTTTGAATAAGCTCATTGTCATTCTACTTGTCATATTAATTATTATATCAATTTTTAATAATTGTTATGTTTACTTTATATACTGATGGTTTTCCTTATAACATTATAACCTGAGTTACACCTGAGATATGATGGAAGTTTTACTGTATTTTTTCTATAATAAGAATGACCACAAATAAAAATGTTTTATTTACTGGTTTGAAATCAATAAAAAACATATATTTTAGCTTGAAAGTAACATTTTAGCCAAGCTTATATTTTGGGCCTGTTAGTAATACAGCAAAATGGGCTTAAGTAAAACTGTGGCACTTATGACATGTGAAAATACTGCTGAACAGAAAAAAGTCATTGATGGGCTTATTACCAGACATGGGCTAATTGCTGGATAACTGTATCCATCACATGGAATTACAAAAAGTTTTTTTGAAGATCAAAATGATAATTGAGTAAGAAATTAGGGGTATGGATAAATTTTTAGAATTAATTAAATATGCTGTAAATTTATTTTATTTTCAGAAATGGAGACTGTGATTTAAAACCGAAGATTTGCCAGTAAGCTGTTTTGCTCATTAAATTATTTCTTGTTGTTAATTTGGAGTTATCTTCATCTAGAAAGTGTTTTGTGTATGAGAAATATGAAACAGTCCATAGTCTGTGTATCAGAGTGTTCTATAGTACTGTTAATTTGCTGTAGTGATCTCAGATCTCCAAATTTCTTGTGAATGTAAAGATTGTTATCTTTAAGACTTATTGAGAAAATGATAGTCTATTTTATTATTTTCATGAGAAATACATAATTTTTTATTAAGGCTTTTGATTAAATTGCAAAAAATTGAAACAGCGCCAGCAACACTTAATGTTGTAGAGCTTTTGCCTACATAAAAGTATTTGTTTCAACACTTCATAATTGTGGTGATTTGTATTTCCAAGGAAGCTGAGAAAGAGGCAAGATTGTGTCTGGGCACTTAACCCTAATTGCTCCGGACAACACATGATAGCCTGTATGGTGTTTTAAAAGTGAGGTAGCCACCGGTTCCTACAAGGAGACCCTACCTCAAAATGACCCCAGCAGTTCACAGGGTGATGAACCCAGGGAACAAACCCAATTGAAACCTGGAGTATGACTGTTGACAACTGATTTTTCAGAAATTAAAGAATCAGGATATCTTTCCAACATTTCTTTTTCAGATTTACAAGTAATGAGTGTCAGTGTTTGTACACCGTCTATACCATGGAGAGACTACCCTCTGAAGATCTCATCATCTTGCGCCAGTCGACCACGGGTGGCAGGTAGGCATCAGTCTGAATTAACTTTATAGGAATACGATAGAGTAATGCTTTTGTTCATTTTTTCTCTTGTTCTTGAAATCTGTTGTGATAATCATTAACAGTAAAAAATCGTTTTTGTTTTGCTGCTGTAGAATTATCATGTTATTTTAAATCATATATTTTTGTGAGCTCAGATCTAATGGTTTTCCATATGGATTCATTTTCATTGACATTTGATTTTTGGATGAACAGTTCTCAAAAAATTGTATATTTCTAAGATAAAATGTAGCATAAATTGTTCATTATTTCATGGACGAATAAATATTTGGATTAAATGAAAATAAAGCCCCACAAAAATGAATGATTTTGTAGTAAAGAATGGCCAGGATAATGGATAGTGTTTCCTTTTCTTAAATAAATTCTGGTATCGAGGTTGATAATTAAGCATTGTCTTACAGTGAAACCTGTCTGATCTGAACCCTGGTAGTGAAACCAGTCTGATCTGAACCCTGACAGTGAGATCTGTCTGATCTGAACCCTGGTAGTGAAACCAGTCTGATCTGAACCCTGACAGTGAAACCTGTCTGATCTGAACCCTGACAGTGAGATCTGTCTGATCTGAACCCTGACAGTGAAACCTGTCTGATCTGAACTCTGACAGTGAAACTTGTCTGATCTGAACCCTGACAGTGAGATATGTCTGATCTGAACCCTGACAGTGAAACCTGTCTGATCTGAACCCTGACAGTGAGATCTGTCTGATCTGAACCCTGACAGTGAAACCTGTCTGATCTGAACCCTGACAGTGAAACCTGTCTGATCTGAACCCTGACAGTGAGATATGTCTGATCTGAACCCTGACAGTGAAACCTGTCTGATCTGAACTCTGACAGTGAAACTTGTCTGATCTGAACCCTGACAGTGAGATATGTCTGATCTGAACCCTGACAGTGAAACCTGTCTGATCTGAACCCTGACAGTGAAACTTGTCTGATCTGAACCCTGACAGTGAGATATGTCTGATCTGAACCCTGACAGTGAAACCTGTCTGATCTGAACCCTGACAGTGAGATCTGTCTGATCTGAACCCTGACAGTGAGATATGTCTGATCTGAACCCTGACAGTGAAACCTGTCTGATCTGAACTCTGACAGTGAAACTTGTCTGATCTGAACCCTGACAGTGAGATATGTCTGATCTGAACCCTGACAGTGAAACCTGTCTGATCTGAACCCTGACAGTGAAACTTGTCTGATCTGAACCCTGACAGTGAGATATGTCTGATCTGAACCCTGACAGTGAAACCTGTCTGATCTGAACCCTGACAGTGAGATATGTCTGATCTGAACCCTGACAGTGAGATATGTCTGATCTGAACCCTGACAGTGAAACCTGTCTGATCTGAACCCTGACAGTGAGATCTGTCTGATCTGAACCCTGACAGTGAAACCTGTCTGATCTGAACTCTGACAGTGAAACTTGTCTGATCTGAACCCTGACAGTGAGATATGTCTGATCTTAACCCTGACAGTGAGATCTGTCTGATCTGAACCCTGACAGTGAGATCTGTCTGATCTGAACCCTGACAGTGAGATCTGTCTGATCTTAACCCTGACAGTGAGATCTGTCTGATCTGACCTCAGACAGTCAAACCTGTTTTGTTTTGTTTTGACATGTGAAAAGTACCATAGTAGTTAAGTGGTCATTGGCCATATTCCACTTTTCAATCTATTCTGTTTCAGTGTTCATTGTGAGGCTGTAGCGGTCAAGTTTGGAGAGATACCACAGCGGTCAGTTAATACAAGTGGACAAGAGGATCAAGAAAGGTAGGACAGCTTTACCATTTACTGTCATTCACCTCTAATAAGCCCAGTTGACTAATGTTTGTCCCAAGTTTGATCATGTTTATGGATGTTTAGTTGGTTATAAGCTAGTCCAAAATTCTGGCCTTCTGTCCACTTTCTGATAATGAATTAATGTATGGGAATATCAGAAGTCTCACCTCAAGGTTTGCATGCAAACAATATTTGAAAGAATTTTCACATGTATCGAGTCATATTGATTTCATGATTTCAGCAAAAAAAAATGTAATTATTTAAAGTTGCTTAAGAAATATTAAAATAAATAATAACACATTTTGATAGTTTAATAATTACAATGATTAATAAAAACTGATCAAGCTTGAAGAACTTCAGAAATCACAAAATTAGGCAAACAAAATATTGAGTTACCTCCCTTCGTCCATGAGAAGAAATTGAAAATGTTTTGTAGAGGAGGCGTTTGTTTTTGAGTTATCTCCCTTGGCCCGTTAAAATATTGGTGTCTAATGGTCCAATCTCAAATATTAAATTTATTACACTTTGTAGGACTGACATAGGATATAATGTACAAAACTTGCAAACGCTAAATTTTCTTTTCTTTATTTTGAAATTATTTCCACTGATTATTTTTCAGAAATCTATCGCTTTACTGTTTTGTTTTTTTTCCACAAAAATGTATTCATGCATGTTCTTTATGTTCAAAAGATGGGATATTATCCTATCACCCACTTTTTCAGGTAAGTATGGTGATTCATCAACTTGAGACAGAATTGTTTCCTGAGGCCAAATGCCAAGGGAGGCATAACTTTGGAGGGTTGATAAATCATCATAATCACTGCAAAACAGGTCATTAACTGTTTTATTACATAATATTTCCTCAACATTTCACATTCTGAAATTATTGTTTCCTGTCATTGGATAAAGTGGATAGAAAGAAAAATTCCTTGAAGAGAGGAGAAAGAGAAAAAAGTAACAGAAAAGATAAAACAAAAACTAAAAAACAGAAATTTAATGGAAAATTTTATATAATTTTAAATTCTTCAAACGTAATGTGCAAATACATAATGAGACATGATGGTGTACAACTCCATTCCATTGACAAACATTCAACAAAAAAAGTGGGGGGTCCCTTATTACTATATTTGGGTATGAACTAGTGTAGGTTGTATCAGCTTGGAGTATTGTTTATGGGTTATTGTATGTGTAAGATGTATAGAATTGTCACAGTCAGGAAAAGCAGGAAATAAATTAAGAAATTTTATCTCTTAAGAAACTCAGATTTTTCCATTTAAAGAAAGATAAGTAAAACTGCTTTCTGACCTTCTTATTGTAGATATATGATATACATGTATTAGAAATTATGAAACTTTATCTGTTGATGTTATCTGGGAGTTAGAGATGACAATTCTGGCGCCTAATACATTTCATACGTCTCAGTTGTATACCATTGGGCATATCTTACACCTCTCATTTTACCTCATTATATATATCTCAAATTCTGGTAAAACCACCTATGTACATGTTTTGTGTCAAATCTTGAATTTTCAAAATGACAAATTATTTTAATTTAAACGATATTGGTATCAAGTGCAAGCATTAACTTGATGGGTTTTTTTTGTCCTCGCAATTTTATGAAGGCGTGTGCAGTGTTTTTCAGTTCTGTAGTGTTACATCACAAATCATGATGAGTCATCACTTTAGCTACTTCATGACTTTACCTTGGATGAGTTGATGATCAGGGGGTTTCAAGGTCAAGGTCATGATTACTATTTATAGAACTTTGCCAAATATTGTTGGAATTCTTGCCTTGCAGGCATTTTATGTAAGAAACATAACTGAAGTTTCTTCCTTACCTGGTACATGTCATTGTGATTCTGTGATTGTGGAAGCCTATGGGGAGTCAAGTTTATCTAAATTAATGTCATGGAGTCATGAATAAGGTTATGCTGTTCAAAGTTAGAAAATGTAAGAAAAAATTGTATGCTTAAAACGAAAAACCACATTGTTATTTGCTGTATGTACTTGAGGACATTAGTAGGGCTACACATTGATTGATCAAGAATCACAAAATATACACACTGTATAACAGTTTTATTTCCTCATTTTGTTTCAAAGTCTGAATTCATAATTCTGTGTTATTTTTTTGCCTTTGAACATCATAAATATGTAGTATGGCTCTTTCTCAATTAAAATCCTTAATCCAAATATTTTCTATGCAATGTTATTACGAAAATAACGAAAAAACAACAACAAAAAAAAAAAACCCACCCCAAAACCAAAAAAACATTGAACATATACTGCAAAATCAAATTTCTGTGAGGATTAATTTTCCTGGTTTTCCAATAAAATGAATCATTATTTTGCTTTAGACAATTGACTTTGTGGATTATTATAGTTCAATAAATTAACTTCTACTGATTTAACAGTTTTTTAACATTTGAATATGTGGATCAAGAATACCAACTCAAAAACTTGAACATATTTTGTGTCAATTTTGACAATAAATACATGTTTTTAAACTAGTATTTCATTAATCAGGATTTTTAAAAAATTGTTTAAATTTTGTGTCCCAAAGGGAACCCAGTTTAGAGAAAATTAATAGTGTCTTTTAAAGCAGTCTCTGTGATCAATCTCAAGCCAATTTTTATTGGACAATAACTGGCTGCAGTCAGATTTGCTTCATTGTGTCAACAAGTCTGCTAACCTGATTTGTTTTTTGTCTGTCATTATCACTGATGATTTGAAATAAACAGATAAAATATGATAGGAAAGGTCTAGTAACATCACAGTGGGTTCTGCTATAATGGTGTAGTAAAAAAAAACAATTATACACAGCCCCTTCAAACATCAAAAAATCTCCTTTTACTTCAAACTGAAAAAACAGGTTTTAAAATAAACTCAAACAAAGTGAATATTGCGAAAAGGAACTAGGCCCTGGTGTAATGGTGTGGCGATAAAAAACAATTATACACGATCCCTTCAAACATTTAAAAACCAATTTCACTTCAAACTGAAAAAAAAACAAGGTTGAAAATGAAATCAAACAAAGTGGATATTACAAAAAGGAATGATGTTCTTCTATAATGATGTGATAAAAAGTGGGAAAACATTTGCAGGGACTCCTTAAACATTAAAAAACAACTTTCATTTCAAGCAATAGTAAAAAAAGGTTTAATGATATCAAACACATGCTGCCTTTGCAGGATATGGCAGCTTGTTCAGTGGCTAAGAAAAAAAGTTGATAAGTAATTCTGTGAAAATTAGCAGAGTTTTGTTATTTTAAATTCAAAGTTTATTTTCTGTCAGTTTTGATAATTATGAAAGTATTTGTGGAAATATTACTGTGATGGAATGAAGTTCTCATTCAACTTTTAATTTATACATTGGAGAGTCAGGGCTAAAAGGGGGTAGGAAATGGGACAGAAAGAGAGAGAGAAAGATAGAGCAAAAGATAGAGAGAAAGAGAGAGAGAGAGAGAGAGAAAGATACAGAGAGAGAAAGAGAGAGAGAGAGAAAGAGAGAGAGAGAGAGAGAGAGAGAAAGAGAGAGAGAGAGAAAGAGAGAGAGAGAAAGATAGAGAGAGAGAAAGAGAGAGAGAGAAAGATACAGAGAGAGAGAGAGAGGGGGTGGATTGGGTGGGCTGAGTGATGTGGGAACATGGGTGGGCATGAAGGAGGGTAAGGGATGGACTTATAGGAGAGGGAAGAAAAGGTGAGTGTTAAAAGTAACTTAAGAAGTTTGAGGAAGCAAGACAGAGGAGAGGGGATGGTAAATTTCTATTAGCTCCTGGCTAGAAACTATGACCACATACCAAATACTAATTACAGGAAAGTTATGACATAACCTACGATGGATAATGAAAGACTTTAAGGCACCAGATGTAAAGAAACAAAGGTAGAAGATGAAAGCAAATATTTTACCAATAAAGGAGTCAAGGTGTCATGATAAGGGCTATGATGCATTTACGAATCTGGGTCCTTTAAACTCTTTTAACTAGCACAGCTATCAAACACATTTCTTAAACACACAGTGAAGAGGAGGTTTTATTACTGAATATTGAAAGAGCAGACAGCAAAGTTCGGTCTCGTCTGGGACAAACATCTCACCAATTCACATCTCATCATGTTATGTTGTCAGGGCTCTATGTCCAAATAATGGCAAATTTTTGTGTCTGAAAACATCCATTTGGTTTGAAATAAAAGAACTGTAGATGTTTGGGTACTTCATATATTGTTTTTGGTATAGTTTATCATTAATGTTTTAAGTTGATATAAACTCTGTTGTAATTATTTTTGGGACATGGGGGTGGGGTGGAGTGGGGTGGGGTAGGGTGGGGGTACTGATATATAAATTCTGACTTGAAGTCAGTGGGTGGTTTTTTTGCAGTGTATTGGTTTGTAATTCTAAATAGTCATGTACATGGATGGGCTTATAACCAGATATGGGCTTATTATTTTGGGCTTATAACTGCATATAGGCTTATTATTGTGAGATAAATACAAGACTTGGGTCATGATATGGAGAAATAAATGTAGAAATGTAGGTCACTGTCACTATTTTTAGAAACCTAACAATGATATATTTTGTGGATTTTCTTAATTGTTTGTTTGTTATCTGGGTTTCTGGCCCCTTCATTATGAGACCAATTAGGGTAAATGTCTTGCCCAAGAACACAACCAACAACACAGGACAGTCCGGCACAGGATAGTCCGTTTCTCATAGGGACCAAAACATGCACCCCAGACCGATACCTCCAACTCTCTACTGAGAGAGTCTTTGTAGCCTCATTTCTTGCATAATACACTTCAAAAGATTTACACAATTTCACCTTTCACATTTTTTGTAAAGATAGTCTCTTTCACAGACACTCAGACCATCATTTAAACCCACATGTCTCTGATTTTATACAAAGATCGTAGGGTGACACAGTGGTAATGCTTTCGTCTTTCACCATAGTGTGCAGGGTTGGATTCCCCAAACAGATGTGAAAAGGTATAAGGTCACCT